TATATGGCTGGCTAAGAAATGTGAGTTATGTTATTATATGGCTGGCTAAGAAATGTGGGTTTTGTTATTATATGGCTAGCTCCAGAGTCAACTCCAAACAAATTCTCTGGTCGAAACAAAACAACGTGAATTAAAAAGTTTTCAAACAACGTAACTAAGACGTTTGGTATATTTTTCATATCTGTAATTTATAATCGCAGAAAAGTGTCTTAAAGTTAAGCGTGTATAACGTGAAACACGGTTTTATTTTCGCTAGAAAACATGATAGAAGTTTTACCGTAAAGGGAACAAACGTATGTACGATAAAAGTTATGTTTGTGAATTTCTCTCGCAATTACTGAGTTAAACACACTTGATTATTTAGATATAAAAGGAGGCTTTATATATATATATTCTTTCTGTTTGTTCTTTTACTAGTTTTCTGAAAAACTGTGAAAATGATGTCTACTCGTATTTTGTTAATTTTTTCGGGTATTTTAATATGATTAAATTAAAGCGTTATTTCGTAAATATTGTGTGTGTTTAAGTTTTATACTGGTAAGTTATTTGTCTGCAGGACCACCAGATTATGTGAATAATTGCTCTGTGTTGAATCAGACGGAGCACACTATCTTCATCCACTGTTTTAAGGGGTACGATGGTGGTATTCCTCAACATTTTACTATAGAAGCTTACAGTTTGGACAGTGGAAAACTTTTGGCTAACATTAGTTTATCAACCAAACCTGAGTTTTCTGTCACAGACCTTCCAGCGGATATGGCTATACGCTTTCTAGTGACAACCTCCAACGCTAGGGGTCGAAGTTCTCCAGTTGTGCTGACAGCTCACACTCTCCGATCACCAGAGAAACTAACTGTACGAGGTAGGGCCAGAAGTAAAGTTTAGGTTAATCACGTATCTTATTTTCAAAATTACTGAACTTTACAACCAGCATTAATGGTAATGTGTATTATGTTCTTTTGTTGTTGTCAGTTTCATTCCAAATGTAAAAATCCTCATTCGAAAATTATTTGACTACTTTTACGCAATACTGAGTAAAATACATGATTTAAATAATTAATATTTTTCTACAAAAATAACAATTAATGCTATCAGTTGTTTAAGGTTTTATTTAGTACGATTCAAAATATTGATATCTTCAACCAGTATTTTTGCGAAATATCATCCCAAAGATTCTTATCTTTAACCACTATTTCTCAAAAACAAATTTCTTCTAGGTTTGACTCAACTGTTTCCAACAACATTTCGTTTTAGGCTATGTTTGTAAAGTAGTTGTTCTATATGTAAATATTGCACTATGTTAGAACATTACTGAAAAGTGCATACATATAAAATTAAAAAACATTTTAGTTTTTTATTTCATTTCGCTTATATTCTTATATGTGAAATTTTTATTATTATTATATATAACAAATCTCTGGAAAATCATCTAACAAATGTATCTCAGATTCGTGTGGTTTGTGTTAAAATGAAAGAAAAATACTCCACAAGCATGTACGAATAGCACTAACTTCAAGTCAGTAGGTTCAAGTGGATGAGTTTCTTGTTATTGATTTAAGTTTTACAGTAAAGTACTCATTTTGAGTGAAATCGATCCAACATCTTAGTTACATTATGGTTCTTAAAATCGAAGATTATAAAATTCGACGAAAAAAGTCATGGTTTTAGAATTACCGGTGCTTTATATAACTTGTGGAAGAGTAAACATATTTCAAAAACGTATTAAAAGAAGGTGTAAACGTAATATACTTTAAAGAAGGTGTAAACGTAATTATACTTTTGGAAAAATAAATATTTCCAGCACGAGTTAGACAAAAGCTAATCATTTCCAGTTCACTAGTGAGATTTATTTGTGAAGTAAAATCGTTTGATTTAACTGAAAGGAATATTACGTGGAGTCTGTCTTAAGCGTGTTGAAAACATATATGAGGAATTAAAGGGTATTGATTGTTTATGATGTCTGCAAGATCTATAGCTACCTCTGATGTTCATGGTAAAGGCATAAAGAAAGCATATATTGAAGATACTAATGAGATAACAAAAAAATGCAGGGATTATCGCGACAAATTATTATTACAAACACATATTAGTAACACAAATGTATTATAAAAACATTGCTGCATTGTTTATGCTGAAACGATATTACAAATCCCTGCTTCACAAATTGACATAATCTAAATATACAGTTTAATATCACACAAAAGACTGAATGTAAACAAATAAAAAAATTAAATGTTTTTCTCAAACACAATCTGACTTCTGTGTGATCAACCACTTATTTTTCAAACTTACTGAAAATTAATCTTGACAAACATTCACGGATTAAAGACCTGGTCTGAGGTTTAAAGCGCTCGACTCGCAATCTGAGGGATGTAGTTTCGGATCTTATCACCGAACATGCTTGCCCTTTCAGGCGTTTTATATTGTGACTGTCAATTCTACTATTCGATTAGAGTAGTTCAAGAGTTGGTAATGGGTGATGTTGACTAGCTGCCTTCACTCTACTCAGTTACATTTAAATCATGGACGGCTAGCGCAGATCAAACAACCAAACTATCTAACAAATCATACTTTATACTGTTTTCAACTAAATTTTCTAACGAATTAACTATTTCTATTTTATTTGCTGTTTACGTCGCATGCAAAAGACGAATTAAACAGCCAATATTAGAAATACGCTGCTATACGTTAGAACTAGCAAAGCATACAATTCCAATTTAATGTGAAATGACCTCATCGTACCGACATTTTATCATAAGTTATGTATAACAATGTGAGAAGATTACTCTTGAAATTATTCACTAGTATACAAATGTTTTTTACCATAGCGTGTCAGATCTTCTTAACTTTTATTCAGCAACTTCACTACTTGTTTCTTGATATGTTTTTTGTGACAAAATATTTGAAATATGCAGAAATATTTGGGTAGTGAATAGAGCTTCTACATTAGTATGGTTTCTTGCAAAAGCCATTAAAGGCTTTAGAAAGCTTTAATGTAAGTGAATACGATGAATTCTTTCAAAGATTCAGAGCTAAAAAAATATTTAATTTACTCTAAACCTGTGCTTTTGTCAGTTGGCTTGAACTAATAATTCAAAATATTTATAAACGTATATTAGGTTTGCACGTGCCGTCGTATCTTATTTACACATAAACACGTCTCAGTAACAAAGGCTGTCGAACATAGATTATACATATACCCACATAACCAATTTAAATATAGTTACATTATCAATACACTAGGTTGTAAAGATCATTATCAGAACTTTTCAAATAATATTTACACTATTTAAAGTGTAAAACGGATAAAAACGTAATGTCTGAAAGAAGTGTATATTTATTTCTGTAATGAATAATATATGATCGATTTAAGATGTCACTAAGCAACAGTGCGGATATCAAGTATTATATTTTCAAGAGCCTCTTTAAGTACATGATGTTATAAACATACCTTTGACTTTGTAAAGAAAACAGGTCAGTAATTTTGCAACTTAGAATAAAGTTAAATCAAATCATAAAGTTTCACATTCTTAGCTGTATTGAGAAATGAAACTCACTTTTCTAGTTATTGTAGAGTACTTTTTATTTATATGTATTTACCTATAAACATTTGTTAAAGATAGGTGGACTTGAGAATGCCTTTGTTTGACCTTTTAAGAACACATCAATATAGTTGTGCTAGACAGATCTAAAACCAGATCTAAGCTAGTCATGATGTGGTTCTCAATTGTTCACTGATTATTCATATTTGAAATATGTTTTATTTTTGTTTGTTCTGTAAGGACTTTGTGGTACAAACGCAATATAGAGCTTGCTTTGGTGTTCTTCTCTAACAACCTCTAAATCAAACTTTTTTTATATCATTAACTTTTAAAACAATCAAGTATTCGATTGTTATTGTATGGTATAACTATGAATGTAATACAAAACTACTATGTCCAATTTATTTTCAAGGTCAGTAGTAGTAAATTAGTATCAATACAACTGTGTATGTAAAATAACATTCTCTCTAATTAATTGCCAAAACACTGACATGAGAATAAACTTGATTAATTCGTGGCGCTATTACGTTCTAATTGTGTGACTGAAACGCTCAAATATTGTTCACAATATTCGAAAGAAAGAAACGGGATTTACATTCCTATGTCATGTAGGTGAATAAATTGCAATCGATGAAAGATCATTCTAATAGACCAATATCCGTTCATTGTTGGTGGTATTGAGTGTTTTCAAGGTAGGTGGCAGACAACACAATTACAAAATTGAAAATGGTTTTGAAGAACGTACCGTAATTAATATTTTAACCCCCCGACAAAATGTGCGAACTATAGTTTGTATTGTATCAAATCTGTTACTTAATAATATTATTCGTTAAAAATATAGTAAAAAAGGATAACTAATAATACGATTATTGTAAGCTACAGTCAACTTCGTGAAGAGCTTTTTCTGTTAGAGCAATAGTAAGAAATTTCAACTATATTCATATAGTTAGGTAATTTTGTAAAGTAGAACTTCTTGCAACGAAAGGAGTTAGAAGTGAAAACGAAGAGAGCTTTCAACATTCAATTTACTTCATTGTGTTTAAAATCATACAGGAAAGATCTATAGTTACCCTTGGCCGTTTAACAAACATTTCCTAGAACTGGAGCAATAAATACCATATGATGACCATGTGAAAACAAAGTTGAACAGAATATATATTTTTTATATTTTGACAAACTTCGAATATACAAGCTCAAACACATGTTTCAAACAACGTGATAAACATTGAAGGTTACGCTTATTCAAATAAAGAAATAACATCTATTATACAGTTCTCTTTATTTGCTGTGCTTGACAAAATAACTTAATGCGCTCTTTTGGTCACTATAGTTTAAACCTCAATTTTAAAGAAATACGAATGCGCGTTATCATTGTTTCTGCTGTTTGTTCTGTTGGCTGAGATGAAGATTAAGATATTATATGCTACTAGATGTGAATAAGAGCTGTACCCTGCAATGTCATCTAATAATAATAAAAAAAACATTATACTAACAATAATGGCTGGAGACGGCTTAAATGGGTAATGAAGAAAAACTTTAATACAAGTTTAACATGACAGCAAATGTACAACGTTTCGACAAGATTTTGTCATCATCATGACCTGATGATGACAAAACCTTGTCGAAACGTTGTACATTTGCTGTCATG